TGCCAGCGGCGTGGTCCCCAGTGGAGGTCCACCCCAGTGGCCACAGTCCAGGATACAGATGGAGTGTCCACTGGAGGCCCGCCCCAGCCTCTAGGCTTGTCCTCTGGGAAGGAAGCCAGCTATGCCCCAGCGGGGAGCTGGTGAAAGGGAGAACCTGGCTTCCAGGGAGGACAGTCTGGGGTTCATGGTGTTCGCCATGTATAAATTCTCCCCCCAGGGCTGCCAAGCCATCAGCTCATCTCAAGTCACTAAAAGAACACAGTAAGGAGAGATGAACCCCTCTCACTCACCCAGCTTGTGAAAGCCCGCACCCCATGGAGAGTCCACCCCCAGCCCTAAGTTTGGGGGTACCAGACATGCCAGACTTTAATGCAGGATGGGGGGCTGGGGCTGGGACAGAGGCTGAGAAGAGGATGTTCTTCTGTATCACTCAACTCGAGAGCCCCAACGGCCAAGTCCAAAAAACTGGTAATACCGGTAGGAGGGGAAGCCACTGAAAAGTTTTGCTCAGAACAGGCGCCTGGCAACGGGGGGACAGTACCGTTGGTACCGTTGGTGTTGTTGGTGTTGGTACCGTTGGGAGGCAGATCTGTTTTTCTCTTTGCCCAGAAGAGAGCAAGAGGTGAATAGAAAGGGGGCCAAGTTTCTGTTACACATATTGAAAATGCCAACCCAGGGCTGAGCAGATCATTTTCACAATTTGAATGAGCAGCCCTGGGGTGTCCCCCCCAACTTTGAGATATAGGGGCCCAGAATATCAGAATTTTCCAAAGCAAAGCAAAGAAGCTGGGAGGCACTTCTCTCTCACATCAGAGGGAGATATCGAAGGACTCCAGGGCCAATCCCTCCGGGCCTTCAGGGAAATATGGGAGCAGGGGCACTGCAGCCTGGGGGAGACACATATGTCAATTAAGCCACGGTGAGATGTGCTGAGTGACAGAGTGAGAGGCAGTGCTGATGGGATGAGGGCAAGGTACTTGTGAAGCACAAGGAAAGGAATGGTGAACCTGAGTCAAGGGTCATTTCCGTTGGGTTTTGAAGGGTATATAGGAATTCACTCACCAGACGAGGAGAAGCAAGTGGCCCAGGATGCTGCAGGGACAGCAGACCCAATTGCTATCAGTGGTCAGTAAGGTAAATGAGGGAAGGGGCATAAGACGTTATAAGTGAACCAGAGGGAACCAGTGGGTGCAAGCCCCACCGAAAGGCATCCAAATTCAATTGTGTTTAACTGTAAGTCATCAAGCAGAATATTCTGGGGGCTCAGCCTGAAGGCTCCCAGATGGTTCATTCTGATAAAAGCCAGTCAAGATAAGACAGAAGCAACTTGAGAGAAATATAGTCCTTGAGATTTTGTGTGGCATTGCTAAGGAGAATGGGCTTTATCCTGGAATCCACAGGAGCAAGTGAGGAGCTTATTTTTTAATAAAGTGAGTTAAAGAACATACATGATTTGTGTTTCAGAAAGAGCTTTGTGCCAGCAAAGCCTTATGTCAGGGCAGAGGTGAGGCCAGCTGGGAGATGTTAGCCTATTGCAGCAGAACTTAGAAGGAATGGGATATAGGAGAGTGAGGATCCCCCTCCTGTTCCACTGAGGCCCCATCCCAGCAGGCTCACCAGAAGTTGAGCGTGACCCAGTAGTGAGCAGTCCACTCAAATCTCAGATCTATCTCTTAGCAGCTGTGTGACCCCTGGCAAGTGTTTTAACCTCCCTGGGTCTCTGCTTTCTGGAATATGGAATGAGAATCACAAAGGGGTAGCTGCCACAGTGGTATGAGGGGAAAACACATAAAGACTAAAAGGCAGTTCAGAAGAGCAGTTAAGAGGTGGTTTCTGCAGTAGATCAATTTCAAAGCCAGGTCCACGATTAGTCAGTTGTGTGACTCTGGGAAAGTTACTATTCTTGCTGTGCTTCAGTTTTCTTATTGCTAAATGGGGATAACAGTAGTACCTGCCTCGTGAGGGTGTGTGAGGATGAAATGATGGTTTGTGGAAATGGTTTGGTACATATTGAAAGTCCAATGAAGATGAAAGGCATCGGGCAGTTGCTATGGCAACAACTGCCAAAACTCAGTCAGCTCCCACCTCTCCTGCTGTTGTCTGACAGAGTCCCCCAGGCCTGTCACTTTCTTCCCAGATTCCTTTCCACTTCCCTGTTTCTTCCCTCTTCCCTGCCCCAAAACAGAGAAATGTGGTGGCAGATGAGGAATTCCAGAAAGAAAAGCATTTGGGGTGACACCTAGAGGGCCTGAAAAATGTGGGGCTAGAAGTTCAGGACTCGGGGGAGCAGTCAGCCATCCCAGACAGGAAGTTTCTCCTGTAGGGGACTACTAGGGAATTTTCTTTTCATGATAATCATTACTAGAAACTCAAGAAGTCAGAAAATACCCAACACACGAGTCTACCACCCCTAAGATTCCCAACTTCACTGCTCCCACCCAGGCTGCTGCCCAAGGCAGGTGCTTTATGACTTTGTAACAGACAGAAATGATCTGACTCATGACCACTGACCAGGCCCCCTGCCACACACTGAAGTTCCCCTAAATTCCCATTTGGTTACCTTTAACCTTTGTTCTTAAAAATGGCCTATTCTAGTCCCGCAAGATCCCTGTTCATCAGTTACCATTTCCAACACACCTGAAATGAGAAATCAACACACACACACACCAGCCTCTCCTCCAGCTCCCTCCCCCAGTCAGAGGATGGGACGGGCCCAGGAAAACAGGCTGATGGAGTAAAATAGAAACACAATTCTTGTGCCTTTTTTCACCGTTGTGCTATCAAAACTTTGAGATTTCTCAGTTCTCATTACAGTCAGAGTAGGCTTTCTCTTAGAGTAACCGAAAACCTCCAACGCATTTAAAGAAACCTCGAGCGCTTCACATTGGAGATGAGTCAGGGGTGGCAGGGTGGGAGGGATGGGGGGGTGGAGCATTGGACCCTGAAGAGAGTGTGGTTAAGGGCAGAGCTCAGGGGCTCAAAGGGTAACTCAGCCAGCAGGGGAGCAGTGTAGTGTTTCCGCACAGAACCACACATGCCCAGGCCCCAGTGGGGGTCAACAGGACACTGGACGCCTGTCCCTGAAATAGAAGGTGTGCCTAGAAGGCAGGTCCAAGAAAACACTGGAGGGTTTGACTGTCCTGTCCAGGGGCTTCATCCTGGCTGGGTAGAGTGCTCCTTAGGACTTAGAGGAGGGGGCAGTGGGCATTGGTATCAAAGCTACGCTGTAGGGAGAGGATCCACTAGTAGCATGCATTATAACTGGCTTGAGGTGGGAGAAATACCTGTTTATTTATGTGGCCTGCTATCTTTCCTCCTCCCCCCAGGTACCCCCACACCCAGAATGAACACACACACACACACACACACACAACCCACTCCCCTGGAGTATAGTAACCATGACCTGGGCGTCATGCAGTGAGTTTCCAGAAGGTGGCGCTGTGGCCAAGGACACAGAATTTTGGGGACTAGGCTTTCTCCTGGGAAACAACCGCTAGCTTGCTGGAGAGCCCCCACTACCCCCTCGAACCTCCAGGGGTGCTTGAGGCCAAGTCCCAGGCATTTCCCTGTCCCTCCTGAAACTGGAGGTCTGCAAGGCCTGCCTTGGCATTCAGTTTCTGATTCTCCTGTGGGCCAAAACCTACCTGGGAACAGAAGGTCAACTTACAAGGAGTGGGAGGCAGCTCCTGCCCTGGGGGTACCAGAGACTTCCACATCAATTTCCCTGTCCCTTCTCATCCCTCAGAGGACTTCAGTTCAGGTCCAACCTTCAGCTCAGTCATAAATCGGAACTGAGCAGCCAAACGTCTGTGTTCAGTCCTCAGCACATGGGGCCTGTGATCCTGGGAGACTCCACCCATTGTTCAGACCCAGGGGGAGTCGCCTGGCTTCCAGAATGTCCCCTGGGAAGGCTGAGTAAGGCCCCTTTCCACAGTTGACCGTGTTCCCCTCCTACTGATCCCCCAAGGCCCTGAGTAGGGACAGGCTAAAGGACAGAACATATAGAGATACTCCAGATACACACAAAATAATAGTTATTCAGGGAATGGTCATCTACCTCATTGCCCAGGGCAGTCCTTCCTTAAAAGGTCTTCCCTTAAAAGAAGGACCAAAAAAAAAAAAAGAAAGAAGAAGCAGGACAAGCAGGGCATTTATTCATTCGTTCATTCACTCAGCAGCACCCGAGCCCTGGGTACCTCCTCAGCTCTGAGCCTGCACTGGGTAAAAGGGAAGAGACCCTGCCCCCCAGAAAGGCTCAGGGGCTGGGCCAGCATGTTTGGGGCCAGGTAAAGTCAGCACTGAGTGAATGTCAATTCATTAAATGAGGGGGGTTTGGGAAGCAGGTGGGTCCCCAAAGCACTCTCCCATCCTTGAGAGGCCAGTAGGAAACCTCACTCTTCCAGCCAGTTCTGTGAAAACACCCTCTCTCCTCAGCAGCTCCCTTAGGAGATACTCAGGGATTCACATCTGGCTACGCTCTCACCTGATAACTCCTGGCACCAGAGTAGCACAAAACACACACACCACGTCACACACACCACGTCACACACACATTACATGCCACGCACTACACACTAACACACATACAACATGCCACTACACACATATGCCACACACAAGTACACCATACACACACAGACACCCCCACAGACACCTCACTTTCTGCATAACACGGAGTGAGACGGGGCTGCTGGGACCCAGATGTCGAGGTCAGTGGTAGCTCAGCCTTGCAGTGTGGGCCAGGCCAAGGCAGACTTTCCCACTCCAGAAGGGGCCCGAGGAGCCCAGAGCAGGACAGAGGCGGCCCTGCCTTTCCATCTTGCTCCTTTGTGGGGCCTCGGAGTGAGAGAGGAAAAGAAAGAGAGGGCAGAGGGGCCAGGCAGCGGGCCAGGTGCTCCGAGGCGAGGCGCAATCTGGTTCTGATGTTCTGTTTCAAACACAGTGCCTGGAGCCTGTGACGAAAGTTCCCAACAGCGGCCCCATCTCAAGGCTTTCTTTAATAACCAAGAGCTGCCCCTGCCAAGCAATAACTTTCTCACCTTGTCTCCAGCAGGGAAACCATTGAAATACATGCTGGCGGTGGTGCTCCTTGTCATTTTCCAGGTGAGATTTCCTGCCAAGGAAAGCTGCTCTGTTCCCTCCTCCACACCCCCACCCCCAAGCTCCCCCCTTCCCAAGCGTGGGGTTCTAGTGGGGAGCTGGGCATTTGCTGCAAGGAAATAACAAGACCACTCACACAAGTCCACTTGCCACTCATTAAACTGATGGCGCGCCCTCACCATCTGCTGCGTGACCCTAGAAAACCACAGATGTTCTCTCAACTGCCTTTAGTCCATTTAAATTACAACATGGGAGGGTGGAATAAGTTGTCTTCCTCGCCCCCTTCCAACATCCCCACCCCGGAGACAGAAACAAGAAACTGCTCGGTCCTTGGAGAGAGGGCAGCTGCAAAAAGCAAAGACTGAGGTTTCAGGGGGTTGCGCACATGTGTGCACGAGCACACGTGTAAAATCTCACATGCGAGTTGAGGAAAGAAACCTTGGTTTGGCAACCTCGTTACTCTCCAATCCCCCCAAAGCTGTCTCCCTCCCCTAACCTTCAGCTAAAGGCTGAAGGGAAATAGAGACCCATTTGGGGATCTAGAAACCCATCTGAGACCCATTATAGGGGAACGAGGAAGGGGCAGTCCAGACACTGGGGGAGGGCCGGGATGGAGCACAGACTTTCTAGGGGTCCAAACTCTGCCGGAGCAAGGGCCCCTGGTTTCCACGGTTCTACTTCTCAGTCCCAGTCCCAGGCGTGGAAACAATCCGCCTCCACCAGGTGCCAGAGTTAGAGGAAACCCTAACCTATAGTTATTCTCCCCCATTTGTTGAGCTCTCCTGGAGGGGGTGGGAGCCCCTGCGGCCGGAGGTGGAGAGGCGGTGCTGCAGAAGTTGGCTCTTCCCCAGGCCTGGAGGCCAGAAGGGCAGCTTTCCAGGAACTCTGGCCAGAGGCAGGCCCCAACTGGGCACAGTTCCCAAAACCCCATTCCAGAGGCCCTCTGGAGCTTGGGCTACAGCCCACGGCCTGGCCCCCTTCCCCATCACCACTCCCTTCCCTTCTTCTCCCCTGATGGGGAACTCAGAGGGGCTGGAAGGTTGGGGGTGGGGATGAAGGACAGCTGTGGTCTGGGCCACAACTTACTAACCTGGAGGGAAGGCGGGGGTGGGGGGGCTCAAATGGGACAGGATGTGGTGGGGGCGTGGGTTGCAGAGGTGTCAAGCCTGGTGGCCCTTTGGGGGAGACGGTAGTTAAAAGGGGGGAAGAGAAAGCAGAATGGGGTGGTGGGGCGCACACATCATAGATGGGGTACACTGCCCTCCAGGAAGGCCTAGAACCCTCTTAAGTCCAGGGACCCCACACCTGAGGTCTTGGGGCATTTCCCTGGGTGTCCGAGGGTAGCCAGTCCCTCTAGGGCCCCCAGCTACAATCCTGCCAGGTCAAGGGAAAGGGATTGCCACTGGCTTTTCTTCTCCAGATAGCAGTCTCCAGAGAAAAAGCTCCAGAGTGTTATTTCCTCCTCATCCTGTCCCCAAGCTGGACAGCGATGAATCCAGAATCTGGGAGTGAGAAAGACAGTGACGCGGGAGAGCCAGGGGACAGGGTTCCATTTCTGGCTGCAAAGCCATGGGGAGGCCATATCACTCCTCGGAGGCCGCCTTTCCACGTCTCTGAAGTCCCTCTATACCCCGGTTGTATGATCTGCCTGGAACCCTGTTCCCAGGGAGGCACCTGAGCTCCCTGAGGGCCCTCCAGGCCAGCCCAGCTCACTCCCAGGCCCTCCTGTCACTGCACAGAGCAGAGCTGTGTGCACTCTCCTTCATTGATAAAATCGCAGTGGCTGCCTGAACCCTCACCCTGCCCCACAGACGCAGACAGGCTAAAAAAAGCCCTGAGCAGCTGAGCCCGCTGATTGGGATCTGCTCAGCCGGAAGAGAGAGGTAGAGAGGTAGGAGGTTGGGGGTGAGTGGGAGCACAGAGGGGGTGCCAGAGCTTCCTGGGGTGACAGCTGAGGGGGCAGCGGGTCCACCGCCCTGTCACCTGCCTGTCACCTTCTCAGGCAGTGACTGGAGCCGAGAGCACTAGGGCAGTGTTGCTGAGCTCCTGCTGCACTCTGGGCCCACCCCCACCCACCCAGAAGATTCAAGTCACTCACCACCCAGATCCAGGCAGCTTCCCCCAGATCCAGGACTTCAGGGCCTCTTAGCAAAGCCTTCGCCTCCCTCTTTCCTCATTCCAGGCCTCCTCAGTCTTAATCCAAAGTGGATGTTCCCTCAAAAGCTGAAGGGTTTTGTAGGCCCCCTGCCAAGTTCTTTCTCCCAGGGTCTAAAGGAAATTCAAGAAGAAAGTCACACTCTTAGCATTCCAACTCTTCTGGTCTGGGGTCTCCAGCAGGCAAAGTCAGACCTCCATGGAGATGAAATGGGTCCAGAGCCCGGGCTAGGTACCTCATGACAGTCATGTGAGGAGAGAATGTTCCTCTCCACTTCACAGATGAGGAAACAGAGGCTCAGAAAGATGCCTTCAACCAACCAAAGGCTCATTTGACCCCAAAGCCCAAACTCTTTCCTGCCCACCATCAGCCCCTGGAAATGCAAGTGCCCCAGAGCTGGCAAAATCAGGCCCGTCCTGCTTATGAGATGTTTAGACACTAGGCTCCACACCAGCCTACCCACCAGGACACACGAATGAACAGGCTCCTTGGGCAGTTCCTATGCACGTGAAAATTCGAGAAGCGCTAATTTCCAAACTGCAAAGTTTAGAAAAACAGATTTCTGGGCCCCGCCCCTGAGTCTCTGGTTCAGTGGGTCTCGGGTAGGGCCCCAGAATCTGCGGGGGATGCCGAGGGTGCTGGTGCTGAGGACCATGTTTTGAAACCGCTGCTATGGGCCTTCCCGGGGCAGTGCAATCACATGCACTGAGCTGACTGGACCCTGTTCTTGCTTCCCTCCCCGCAGGTGTGCCGGTGCCAGGACGAGGTCACAGATGACTACATAGGGGACAACACCACGGTAGACTACCGGCAGTTCGAGACTGTGTGCTTCAAGGACGATGTACGGGTCTTCAAGGCCTGGTTCCTCCCCATCATGTACAGCATCATTTTCATCATGGGCCTGCTGGGCAATGGGCTGGTCATCCTGACCTACATCTACTTCAAGAGGCTCAAAACCATGACCGACACCTACCTGCTCAACCTGGCCATGGCTGACATCCTCTCCCTCCTGGCCCTGCCCTTCTGGGCATACAGTGCAGCCCAGTCTTGGATCTTTGGTGTCCACGTTTGCAAACTCATCTTCGGCATCTACAAGACAAGTTTCTTCAGTGGCATGCTCCTGCTTCTGTGCATCAGCATTGATCGCTACGTGGCCATCGTCCAGGCCGTGTCGGCCCACCGCCACCGGGCCCGCGTCCTCTTCATCAGCAAGCTGTCCTGTGTGGGAATCTGGATCCTGGCTGTGGTGCTGTCCACTCCGGAGCTGCTGTACAGCGGCCTCCAGAGGAGCGCCAGTGAGCAGGTGCTCCGGTGCTCCCTCATCACCGAGCATGTGGAGGCCTTGATCACCATCCAGGTGGCCCAGATGGTGGTGGGCTTTCTCATCCCCCTGCTGGCCATGAGCTTCTGCTACCTGGTCATCATCCGCACCCTGCTCCAGGCGCGCAACTTCGAACGCAACAAGGCCATCAAGGTGATCATCGCTGTGGTCGTGGTCTTCATCGTCTTCCAGCTGCCCTACAATGGGGTGGTCCTGGCCCAGACGGTGGCCAACTTCAACATCACCAGCATCAGCAGCTGCGAGCTCAGCAAGCAGCTCAACATCGCCTACGACATCACCTACAGCCTGGCCTGCGTCCGCTGCTGCGTCAACCCTTTCCTGTACGCCTTCATCGGCGTCAAGTTCCGCAACGATCTCTTCAAGCTCTTCAAGGACTTGGGCTGCCTCAGCCAAGAACAGCTCCGGCAGTGGTCCTCGTGCCGGCACGCCCGGCGCTCCTCCATGAGCATGGAAGCCGAAACCACCACCACCTTCTCCCCATAGGAGGGCCCACTGCCCGGACAGGAGGCACATCTCCCTGGTCCCCTGCATCAGAGACGGAGAACAGAGGACATGATTCCAGACCCACAAGCTGCTGAGGAAAGAGCTGTTCTGGCCACGCCCTGGGAGGCAGATGAGCCCAACCCTAGCTACCTCCACCACGGTTACAGAAACCTGGTTGATAACAGAAGCCCGGGGGAACCAGCAGCTCCCAAAAAACACCAAAAGTGAACATCAAGAAACAGTTTTCGGGTGGTGGAGGAGGCCCAGCATGTCCAGAAGGCCTCTCTGAGATTCAAGGACCGAGTCAAGGTTTACCAGAAAACAAGACTTTGTCTCCAAGTCCAGAAATGGTGGAGAGACTCTGGGCTTGGCAAAGGAAGGGGCCACTAGTGAGCCAAACCAATTCCCTGAGTCCCTCCCACCACCTCTGTTTTTCTACTGCCATCAGAGCTGGCAAGAAATGGCTGCCCAGGAGCCTCCCGACAGCAAGCTTGCCCCTCGCAGACCGCCACTTTTCTTCGGGCAGCTGCCCTTCCAGGCTCTCCGGGAAGGGTGTGGCATTTCCTGCTGAGGCAGGCAGCCTCAGGGCCAAAGCCCAGTTCCTAGCAAGGCTTCAGGGAGAAGGAGGATTCAACGCCCCACCCACCCCCCTCAGGTCTCCACCCGGAGCAGGGAAGGAGCAGGGAAGGAGCGAGAAGGAGAAAGGTTGGGAGCTGGGGGTGGATGACAACGCTGGATGCTGAAAGCCAAGAGCTGCTTCTTTGTTCTTTGCCACTAGGACAAAAAAACTCTCATCCTGTTCTGCTTTCAATTCAGAGAACACATTTTACTCATATACAAATAAAAGTCTTCCCTTGAGGAAGCAACAGGTTTAAAAGAAAGGGGAAAAGTCTGGTAAATGGCAAATGAGTGTTTTCTTGTTTTACAAACCCGGGGGCCACACCTGACCACCCTGTTTCCCTTCTCTCCTGAGCCACGAGGCCCGTCCTTGGGTCCCCAGCTGCAACCCCAGGCCACTAATGGGTCCCCTCAGCTAGAAGCACCACACCTCTCAAATCAAGGACTCACAGAGCTTCAAGGGCCCTCAAAGATCGGCTGGTCTGAAGCCCAGTCATTCTCTAGATGGAGAAACTGAGGCCCAGAGGGAAGAGACTTAGAATTATAAGACAGAGTTAAACTCACCTTGGGGAGAGACTGAGAATTATAAGACAGAGTTAAACTCGCCTTGGGGCCCCTGGGAGAGGTAGGGTTTCAGGAGGCTGGTGGCGGACACCAGGCCCTGACGGGGACGGAGGAGGGGAAGCCCAGGCTGTCCATCTTACAAAGCCCCCTCCAGAGCTCATGGGGCAGGACCTGTGCCCGAGCCGTCAGCAGTGGCCCAGGGCAAGGGCCTGCGTCAAGCTTTGGACAGAATCAAGTTGTCCCTGTAACCTCCGTGGCCGGGTACACTCCCTAACCTTAGCACCTCGCTCTGCTCCTCTGTCCCAGCTGAGCCTGGAACAGGCACTTTTGACCCCTCAGGCTTCCCAAACTGGTGTTTAGGGCCTCTCCCTTGGCTCAAACACCTCAGTTTATGGGATTAAGGAAGACTGCTGAACTCCGCAGAGTCAGGCACCTGTGAGCCTCCCTAGTGGCCACTGCTGCCCCATGGTCTTCCATAGTGTGGACACCATCATGGAGGGGCGGATCCAGGCCAAGCCACTGTCGCCTGTCAAGCATCCGTGTCACTAGGTAGCGTGACCCACCCAGAAACCTTCCTCCAAGCCCAAAAGTTTAGTCCCAGCTGTGAGGGAGGGGTGGGTGGGTGTCTGGGGGCCCAGCACAGCAGTAACTCAGGACCTGGGATGTTTGAGACACCCACCCAGCAGCCACTCCATCAGTTCTCCAAAGTGAGCACTGTTGATCAAGGAGCCTGCTGGTCATGATGCCGCTCTCATCCCATAAGCGCAGCGCACAACCCTCCTCCACAGGACACCCCGGAAGGATTTGTCAGCCACTCTGAGCCTGAAACAGGCAGCTGAGGGGCACATTCCCGGGGTGGTGGGTGTGGGCCCGCTGGCGTGGACACGGAAGAGATTAAGGACTGGAGAACAGCCTCATCCTGAAGGAGTGGGCTGTGACCAAGTGATCAGGAACAGGGAGCCCCGCCAGTCCCACAAACACGCACCTCGCCTTCAAATGAATTTTTCTAAAATAACTAGATGTCTCCGAGTATTTACAAAGACAACAAAACCCCCGTCAATATCAATTTCCTAGCTGCTGTATCTCAGCTGTTCTGCTCTGACTGCGGCTGCTTGCTGGCCTGGCCCTGCTGCCTTGCCTAGCAGTCTATGTGCCCCTACCCTGAGTTTTGGGGAACCCCTAGGAAGAAGGAAGTCCTCCCCAGGGCCTCTCTCTCCCTCTGTCTCTCTCATCTCATGGCCCCCACAGCCCCTCCACAGCTTCCTGCGGGAATGAGGGGGGTCCTATTGTCAGCCCTTTGTCCCTTCATCCTCCCCAGCTGCAACCCCAGGCCACTAATGGGTCCCCTCAGCTAGAAGCCCCACGCTTCTCAAATCAAGGACTCACAGAGCTGCAAGGGGCCTCAAAGATCGGCTGGTCTGATGCCCAATCATTGGAGAAACTGAGAAACTGAGGCCCAGAGGGAAGAGACTTGGAATTGTAGGACAGAGTTAAACTCGCCTTGGGGGCCCTGGGAGAGGTAGGGTTTCAGGAGGCGGGTAGGAGACACCAGAGGCTCTGGAGCCAGGCCAAATTTAAATCTCTCTACTGCTTCCCAGCTGTGTGACCTTCAGCTGTTGCTCAACTGCTCTGAGTCTCAGATTTCTCCACGGAACAATGGAGAGGATTTGGTAAACATTTAGCACCGTGCCTGGAATGTTGAGGGTGGCGGAGGAGCATTTGCAGCCGCTGCGAGTTCCCAATCTCAGCTGCACTGCTCGGGCTGGCTGTTTAGGGTCTCTGTGCCTCAGTTTCCTGATCTACAGTAAAATGGGCATAATCATAGTACCTGCCTCCTGCGGTTGAAGAGTAAATGGATTCTTATGTGTAAAATGCTTAGAAATGCTTATAAAAAGTGTAATAATCATTTATGAGATAGTTAATAAATGGTAGCTAAAAAATAAGATAGCTGCTAACTGCAAGGAAATCAAGTTTAATTCTTTAGCCCCATTTCCATGCCATATAACTTATAAACCAAGCTAAGGGTCAACTATCAGTTTATTAGCCCGTCCATCCCACCAATAGTCCAGGTAAGTTAGCTGAGGCTTAGAGAGAGAAATTACTTAACTGAGGTCTCTGGGAACTCTTGGCAATGCTGGAACTTGAGCCCAGGGTCCCGAGTTCCCATCCTGAGCCCTTCCCCCACACCTCCTACACCCCCTCACCCACTCCACACCCACCCTGCCCAGGCCACCCTCCCCCCAAATCAGCTAGTTCTCCAGCAAGCACAGTCCACCTTGTCCTGTGCCAACTCCTTGAGGAGAACTCCACCCCCCCTTAAACAGTTCTGTCCTCATCATTGGATCAGGAGAACGAAGTACAAAAGAAATGTGGCAGCAGACCCCAAAGAGACCCATAACTGATCCTTTTAAAAAAGGACTCTCTCTTGGAGCTAGCTTCTCAGCCGCATTTCTGAGCTGAGGGAAGGAGGAAAATGGGTCTATGGAGGTGGGGTTGGGGTGGAGGGCGAGGCAAATCCAATGGGGAGGGGAGCCCAAGGTGGGGGGGAAGCTTGGCAGGAGTGGATTCGAGGGGCTACCCTGCTGGGGCTGCACTTGAGAGCACAGTCCTATGCCATGTAATGTTGTTTTGGTCAACACCAGACCACAGACATGACAGTCATCTCCAATCCTGTGGCCTGGTGATGTCACAGTGACATCATGGAGCCTTTTGGCAACAACTTTATAGCTTGTGTTTACTGTGTCTCTTGACAGCATCACTTTCCTCTGTGCTGGATTCATCTCATGTTATTTCATTCATCGTGGTCCCTGCGTGTACAAAATCACTGCTGACGTTGCATCCCAATGACCAAATGGCCTAAAGACGCATTTCTCACAATGGCTCCCTATCAACAACTACATGACTGTGATCTCACTGGGTAGAAAGACGCACATGCACACGTACACACACACACGGCACCCTCCCCCAGCCTCCCAGTCTCAGGTGAGAAGCAAGAGGTTATATCAGCCTTACAGACAGGTAGGCCCAGGATCTTCTTCACTGACTGGGAGGTTTAGAAATGGCCAGTTTCCCTGTTCTAAATCACTAAAAAAAATCCCAGGGAGAAACAGAAGGAGCTGGTGTGCCCCTTCAATTCAAAACTGCCCCTCTGTCACCCTCCCAGAACCACCCCTCAAGAGCCAATGTCGGGCACTGAGGGCAGAGGACACCTCATAACCGCACTCCCCCATCACCAACCTGGAAAGTGACACAGATGAGGGGTCCACAGCAGAGAATGCCAAGCAGCCCTTGCTGGCCTGGCAGAGCAGCTCTGGACTGGTGGGGCTGAGATCAGAATCTCGGGGACAGACGCCCCCAAGGACTCATGTGTGTGTGGCCCGACCCAGACCTCTCTGCTGCTGCAGTTTCTTTCCCTCCAATTCACTTTGGGGGTGGAGAGAACCTTATTTTTGTCTATTCACTTACACCAGAGTTCGCTTGCTGGGTTGTTCTGTGTCTCAGGAACTACCCCGAGGGTTGGCCTCCAGGTTCTCACTGCTTGTAGATAAGCCTGGGCCTGCCCTGCGGAGCAGGGGCAGGCGGGGTGGGCTCCATCCCCTCCAGGTGCCATAGGTGTCTGCAGTCAGACACCAGCAAGAGGGCAGGTGATTGGCCCCAAGTCATCTGCTGCCTATGTCAGAGCTTGCTTAGGACAGAGGGTTTGTATTGGTTCTACGTAAATGCCTGACATGGCTCACAGATGCCAGAGATGATACGTTCCCAAGCCCTTTCCCATGTTTCCCAAAGAAGCCTACACGCATGCACATTTATCTGGAGTGGTTCATGCAAACTGCACCCCAGGGGCTGAGCGGGAGCAGGATCATATGCTAAGACTGAGGGTACATTCCTCTCTCCAGGTGTGGGTTTGGACACCAGGAGTCAC